CTCTATTGAGTTGAGGTCCATTGAGTTCCTAGGCCATTCCAGAACTCAAATATTCTAGCACACACATCATGAGGAGTTGCTTTTAGGTGGCAAGATGAGATGAGGCGACACGTTCAGCTTTTTTTTGCAGCCCTTGTTCAATCTAATGGTCCGACACATCTTGAAGGAGGTTATGGTGGTCTTTCTTCCTTTCTGCTGCAGTCTTTGTCAAATTCTTCATCTGTTTTCATCTAAGAAGCATGTCAGTGGCCTTGGAGGTCTTCTTGGGCCACCTAGGAGATGACTTCCAAGGTGGACAGAATTGACAAAAAAATTGCATGCTATTCTCTTTGGTCATAATTGTTGCTGTGCCTCTCCTGGATTTCTTTCAGAGGAATTTTCTCACCCAACATGGCAAGGACTTGAGGTTTTTCCTTACCAAACAAGCTCTTGGGAACCATGGTGACTGTTCCGAGAGTAATTTTATGTTCTTAGGTAATCTGATAAGAAATTCAGAGGACAAGATTTGTATGATTTTCAGCACCACAATTAATTTCCTGCAGTTGTCTATAAATTCCTGGAGCTTGCATTAGGTGACATGCAAACAAAAAAATAGCTAAATACAATTTTTTAGTTTCATCGCAATAATTCCATCATGTTGTTTAAAACAAAAACAAAGCACAATAGTTAAGCATTGAAGAGCTAATCTCTGACCAAGAGGTCAACCACTCGTATATCTTCAGCCACATCAAATGAAGTGTAATCTGGTAACAAAGCTTCACAGTTGTTGTAGTCATTGATGTGGGTTTTGTAATGACTCATAATACTGCACTTATTTCACAGTGAAGGCCCATTATAAAAGGAATTTCAACTGCTGCGAATGTTTAGAGATATTGTATGTCTACAAAGAATGTGGAAGCTTCCTTTATAAGTACTTTCTGGTTTCAATACCCATAACTTTACTGTGTGTTTTACTGGTGTTACAAATGGATGAACTTGGTTCTCATGCATTGGTATACCTACAGGTATAGTACCATATGTAATTTCTTGGCATTCATCTTTTCCTTCTTTACAGTAAGTTCTTGAATCTACACACAGGTCTGGCCTTTCTGGTAATATTATTGGTAGTAGTTTGGTCCCGAGTTCTTGCTTGATTATGGTATATGTTGGCCTGTTGGGCAATTCACATGACAACAATTTGTCTCACTCAAGTGTTCCTATATTTATAGCTATTACACCATTGACATCGCATTAACTCTGAGAGATCAAGTCATTTATCTTTACATTCCTCAATAACATTACTCAACGTGTATAAACAGGAAAGGCGAAAACAAAAAACAATCAAACATTTAGAATCCTTCACCAATGACCAATTTTGTTGAAAACAGACAGGTAGTCCTCTGAAATCTAGCATAATAAGCTGTTAAAATTTTATTAACACCAGTAGCACAAACTGTACTACCAACAAACAAAACACAGGCAAACCGACCTAAACACACGTCCAAACATACTCTGTTAATTACTGTAGTTGAAAAGGTTTAAGTCAACACACATACCCTGGGTGATAATACCCATGGGCCAACATTTATGAGATGGGTTATAATATCCCTTGGCCATTGGTCAACACGCATGAGATGGGTTATAATATCCCTTGGCCATGGGTCAAGGTACATGAGATGGGTTATAATATCCCTTGGCCATGGGTCAACACGCATGAGATGGGTTATAATATCCCTTGGCCATGGGCCAACACGCATGAGATGGGTTATAATATCCCTTGGCCATGGGTCAACACGCATGAGATGATTATAATATCCCTTGGCCATGGATCAACACGCATGAGATGGGTTATAATATCCCTTGGCCATGGGTTAACACGCATGAGATGGGTCATAATATCCCTTGGCCATGGATCAACACGCATGAGACGGGTTATAATATCCCTTGGCCATGGATCAACACGCATGAGACGGGTTATAATATCCCTTGGCCATGGGTCAACACACGAGATGGGTTATAATATCCCTTGGCCATGGGTCAACACACATGAGATGGGTTATAATATCACTTGGCCATGGGTCAAGGTACATAAGATGGGTTATAATATCCGTTGGCCATTAACAGATCAAAAGGTTTAAAAAAAATTATGCCAAATTAAATGGCCATAAAATGATGAGTCAACGATATCAGAAAAAAATATCACTCTTTGTTTGTTGAGAAGATATTATCACTTCTCTTAAAATTGTGTACCCTTATTGCATATTAAACTGAAGACTACAGGATAAATTTATTTAGTTTTCCACAAATTACAAGAGAGTTTATGAGTTTAAATTGAAAACTGAGGCAACTGGTGCTGGTGGAGATGAATCTACTTGTCCCTATTATGTGGTGAATCTAGGATGATGCTTTGAAAGTTTATTTGTAGACAATAAAAATGAAGGTGTTATTAATATTGAAATAAGTACCTAAGCATACTGGTAGAAAAAACCTGCATTATATTTAACGTAATTTCATTATTCCTGAGAAAAATTAATGAAAACAGTTACCATATAACATTTTTGTAACCAGAGTTATTCCTCATAAATCAATGCATGGGACAAAATAAAATTAATTTCATATTTTTGTAAACCAAAGCACTGTAAATCGGGGACTACCTGTATATTCACTGCTGTTACATAAAAAAATACCACTAAACAGTACAATTTGAAACGAACATCACAGATGACAAAAACATGTAAGGTTAGTTACTACACTGTACGTACTGACATTAGGAGTACCTGTAAAGATCTAGAGTCAAATTTTAGTTATTTGTAGAATCACAGTTGAATAACAAGTGTTTCATACAAAAGCCTCACAGGAGTTACCATTACTGAACCAGAGTGGCTTCTCGATGACCTGTTCAAACTCTATGTAACTTGCAGCTTCAGAAACAACCCAAGAAAGAAGAGGAAAATCTTGAACAACACAAGAAAAACAAGAATTGCTTCTCCTCTCTTTATTTATAAGGCAGTTAATACTTCATGTAACACAATACACTTAACTTACAAGTCACAAAAAATTAAGAAAAAAAAAATTAAAACACGAGGATGAAAGTTGGGAAGGTTTATTTCCACTTTCCTACACCAAGGCCCATAAGAGAACATCTTACCAAATGATCACATTATATACTTCATGATTCCTGAAAGAAATTCTTATTGTTATCAGAGTAAAACAACATAAGCAGCCTTGATTGAGTTAATCAGGTTTTCAAACACTGTACAGTTCAGTACAGAACATACAGGTATACCAATAACACCATTCCTGACAACCCCCCCCCCCTCCTTTTTTTTTAATAAATTTTCAAGAATACATCACTTTCTTTGATAAGGTGAATTTCATATTTTCAATGTCTCTTCTCTTGATATTTTACACACAAGCTAATGTTAACACACACACACACACACACATGCCCACACACACACATCAGCAAGAATTGCAGACAGTGTACCAGGACATGTTACAATGACTACTAATGCCATTAATATATAAACTTAACAAGAATGGTACCTGTAAATACAGTACTGAACTTTAATGATTCACTGTCAAACAAGAAAGAGTATCACTAATAATAATGGTACAGTCCACAGCTTGCATTCAAGAAAAGGTATCAGTATGGATGTAAATACTGTACTGTATACAGGTCATAAAGACATGTGAAGGTGAGCAGGCATCAGGTTCACACTGGTTGTAACTTGAGTCTGGCTATGTCAGCCATTAGAACCATTCTCAAGAATGCAAAAAGGACAACTTGTTCAAATAGCATTTTACTAGGCTCCATAGAGGAGCTGGTTCATATTAGGGATGGCAGAGGACACAGGCCAGTCTTACAGAAGCTCCAATTACCATAAAAAACTAAGTTAATTTATAAAATATTTTAATACATATACTGTGTGCTGTCACAAACCACATTATACAGACTTCTTAAAGAACCATTTCTTTTAGTGTTACATTTACCAGGAACACACATAGACTGCTATACGTGGTGCGCCTGTACACTATTGTACTGTACTGTATATGTTTTAGTTTTTTAACATATGCTCCCAAATATAAAATATAAAATTTTATTTGCTTCTCTAAGTTTTTAAATGGTAGTTAAGACAACAATGGTTTGTGTATTTAAAACTACATGCTAGTTGTGTCCGAAAATCTGGCGCACAAATTAAACGTAGTGAAATGGAATATCTTATAACCTTGGAACAAAACAGTGGCAATGCACAACAGCATTACTAAGCGGCATTTTATGGTTTTACAAAAAGTGTTGAGTCACATACTAAACTTGTGATGACTGAACAGAATACCCTGTTAAGAGTGTTTCCACCTTCCTATTAAGGTTTGGTATTTCAAAAAAAATATCTGAATTATGTCAGTTTATGAAATGTGGGGCTATGAACTCAGGAGGTTTGAAATGACTTATTCTAAATTTTCCTCAAGCACTCACCACTATAATGAACGAGATACTGACAGCGTTTGCACTAAAAACATTAAGTCAGTGCACATATGCTATATTCAAAATGAACTTTGTTTTGTGTGTCCAAAAACTGTTATGATACTCATATCTCAATGAGCTGAATCTCCATTGAACCTAATAATATTGTGTACACCACTAATACAAAATTACCCTAACTATCCTGATATACTATGGTACAGTAGTGCATTGATAATGGTACAGCACAGCAAATAAAACTGGTCACCTGAAAATGACATGTTCACTTGTGAAGACTTTATACACTTATACAGTAACGACAAACTACTTTCATTTAAACACACACAGACAAACACATGCAGATTGCTATATCCCCCTGTCCATGATGATAAAAATGAACAATACAGTACATAATGTATAAACTTTTGAAGCAGGCAAAGCTTGACATTGAATGACTGGAAACATAATTAACTCTCAAGGCTGCTTGGAAAATAAACTACAGGTCAATAGGCAAGTTTTTTATTGTTAAGAAACATGGCATTTGTAATAAGTGACATACCTTTTCCACTTTCTCAAAATTATAAGACCTCATCTGAAAAAAGATACAAAATCATTATCAGTGTGTGAACATGAGATATTACTTATATATACTGTGCTGTAGAATATGTAAAGTGTGTAGAAAGAGAATCAACTTCAAGACAACAGATATTTTAAATAAAATGATGGTGATTTATATACACAAGAATGTCTAAATCATAAAGCTAAGCAAAGTAGATCTAACAAAATTTCACGATAATACATTTCTGAGTCCTATAATCCAGATGACAAAAATAACATTGCTGTACAATAAATGCATCCTGGTGACTTACCTCCTGCTCAATGAACATCTTCCAGAACTTGCCCGTTGTGGGGAAAGTAGTAACCAACCGCTCAAAGATGGGCCGCGCAGTATCTATGGAACGATTTTGAGCATCACGGATAATTAAGCTCCATGCCTCCATATCATAGGGGTTGGATTCCGTAGTTGCCCATGCTCGGCGCAGCTTTTCTGTCCCAAATTCCTAAAAAGAAATACTTATGTTAAAAAATATATACCTGTATCACCTTTTTCATTTTCTTACAACAGACATCTGCTCCCACATCTGTAACTGTGATATAATATAGAGAAATTACCTCTTCTGAGTACAGTACACACAGCACACTCACTAATCAAGTGAGGGAACCTCTGGCATCCACTTGTAAACTTAAAAAAATGATTAAAATATATACAGGCAGTCCTTCATATGCAAATGGTTTCTGTTCACGAAAAACCTGTAAATAATTTTTTTTAAATCGGATCATATTTTCCATAGACCCCCAATTATAAAAGCTGTGTTACATTCCTACGAAACACCATTCCTCAAATTGCCTGAAAATGCTACCAAACATATTTAAAATGATTTTTATAGTGCACACAATAATTATAAGCCAATAATAAACATGCAAAAGAAAACACAAAAGTTACTGTACTGAGAAACTGTGCCCCCCACACTTAGTTGAACGTTTGTTTTACCCATTAATTTATCACATCATCACTTATCAGCTTACTAGCTATTCGGGCAGTTGGTCTGTTCTTTGTTACTTTGATATGAAACTGGAGTACCCAGAGTTTTGACCTTTGCAGAGGTGGAGAGCATAAATAATTATTGTCTGGTGAATAAATAGCTCAATTAATTTTCCAATTTAACACCTCTTTCTTATTTATTGAAAGCTACCCTCGCTAACACGAATTTTGATGAGCAAAAATCCACATCATATGCCCCTGGGAGTCAGCTGGGGCAACCATCTTGGAGGGATGGGCTTAGACGTACATATTCTCGCTCACTGTGTGAGCTATATTATGATTATTTTCGAACTCGTAATTTTCGGTAGATATGCTGTGTACGTACATTACTTAATTCATATTTTTTTTTACTCTGTTTACACGCACACAAAATTCCACATACGGAATGTGAAAAAAAATTAAATAAATAAATCATACGGTAAAAAACACAGTGGGAATAAACATCTTTGTGCACCAGTGAGAGTTACCAGGCTGAGCAGGGGAGCTATGTTATGGTTATTTTTCTACTTGTAATTTCAGGTATATAAACTCATTTTTTTTACTTACATGTACACAATCCTTTATACATAATTGGTAAAAAAAAAATAATAATAATAAAAGAAATAACTATCACAAAGTCAAAAACATTTCATTGTGCGCAAGAGTTAGCACGCTGAGCGGAAGGGTGGAGCCAAGTGTGGCAGTCCAGTTGCCGAGGGTTGGCAGAGGCAGCGTCCCAGCTGGGCTGTGTTGCTATGGCATGTGGTGAGGCTAAGCAGCCAGTGTCTTAAGCAAATGGCAGTGGTGTTAAACTGTCATTTAGGTAGCAACATTGTTTCATCTAGATAATACTTTATCTATGTTTTTAATGTTAAGTAGTAAATTAGAGCACTGTACTGTACTGTTGTTTGTGAACCTATTTCATGTTTTTGTACTGTACTGTATTGGGGTTTTCTTGTAGTTGGGGAAAGGAACTATTTTTCCCATCTGTTGTTACCTGAGATACAAAAATTCACATATGTGGTTTTCCAAGAATCCATCCCATTCATTAAGTGAGGGATACCTGTATGATGCCACATTATGGGATAAGATTTCTCAGATAAAAACTGAACCAACCTAACATAAGTTATATAGAAGCAAAGGAAACACATGGTCAGAGTAAAGCTATCTCTCTGAACATGTGTTTCCTTTGCTGCCATATAACCATTTGTCCAAATGAATACTAATCAACTTACTACTGTACAGTACACCTAACCTACAAATCCTAAAATAGGTTAGGTAGATTAGGTTAAGTTAGATATGCTAATTCACTTTATCTCTGATTTATAAATTTTATGTTGTTATAGCTGGTCCAGTACTGTACTGTGCATTCCACTGTGGAAACATTTATGTATGTGTATAAAATATTGTTCAGGAGAATATCACAAAAATATTACAAAATTGGTTATTAATCTGCAAACACCAGCTTACAAGAGAAACTGAGGTAAAAAAAATATGCAAACAAATGAACCAATCACACCTAAGGAAACCCAGTTTAATATTTAGGAGTGACCATTTACGGAACTTTACACTAATTCATACTCTGTATAAGGAGAAAAAAATACTAATGTGCATTTCCAAAAGATATTTAAAAATTTTGAGTTATATTCACCTAAGTGAGTACAAGTTCGCAGGGATATATAACACTATTTGCTTCTTACTCAGCCAATCAGCAGTAGTGTCAATGTCACGCGATGCTCACGCTGATGTGCTTACTCACATTTTTGTCGGAATTTTTGTTTACTTTACAATTTCAGGTTAAGTTTCTTAAGTTCCTTTGTTATTGTCTTGTTTTTTGCTTTGTCTTATTGGGTTATGATGGGTTTACACACCAGGGGATCCAGGATAGGAGGTTAAGTCAGTTCTCTCTGGTCTGTCTGGTTAGGTTAAACTGATATTTGAGTCGTTAGGTTTCGTAAATTTTTTGGGTGTTTTCACACCACAAAATCCCCTTGCTTCAAAGCCCTGCCCGCATTTCTTTAAATGAAATCGAAAAGCAAAAAAATATAAATTTCCAATGGACACTGTTTTCTTTGCACTAACTCCCTATATGCGACTCAATTTACAGTTCCGTGAATGGTCACTAGAGAATATTTACCATAACCTGGCCTAACCTAACTTTCAAAACCTTATATTATTTAGCTGATGAAGGAGACTGATCATGTGTATATGACGTGAAGAAAAAGTAAACAATAAATGAGCTCCAGTGACCTAAAGAACTGCTAAAGTTGCAAATTTTTTTGCAACTTTATACTTCAAGTAACGGTATTATTTTAGTTTTGATCATCCGGGGAAACTTAGGAATTCAGTTAGGTTCCCAAACTAAATTTTTGAACGATTTGGACCTTCATATCTGCCGGAAATCACATAAGTTTGGATGTCTAAATACAGGGATGCCAAAACTAAAATTTACCTAAATAACTCCAAAACTAATTACCTGTATTTACAAAAAATACTTATATATATATATATATATATATATATATATATATATATATATATATATATATATATATATATATATATATATATATATATATGATAAGTGAAAACAAAATGCCAAGTATTAAATCAACAAATATTAACAATTTTACCTTTAGTAATACTTAATTTATCGTCTTATATACAAAAATGGGTTACACTTTGTGAATGGGGTCCATATTAACCATCAACTGTAGACAAATTTCCTACAGAAAATACCGGTAATTTGTTTCTTACCTCAAGAATATCCCACCACGGGTGGATGTGCCACTGCTTCCCTCTTTCATCTTCCCTTTACTGTACCTTTATCTAGCCTTTTCTCTTACTAATCTCACAACAAATATGCCCACGTACGCTGTAACATATGAAAAGATCCTGAACAGTTACACCCAAAACCTGGTTCCATATTGTCTATAAGGCCAATAGATTATGTAGTCTTACAGTTGACGATATTTATTACTAAAAGCAAGTGAACTAGCCTTCCAAAAACCATAAACAAACGTTTAACCCATTCATAGGCCATCAACTACACAATAAATATTGACCAGTATTACTGTACTGTTTGTATACCCGAACTGTCTATAGATACATACAGTGCATTGTTAATATTGTACACCTCTACCTAAACGGTCTATGTACACAGTATACCTGTACCTTCTATATACATGCCAAACTAACTACAAATTTAATTATATGACCATTTTATTAAGAAAAAAAAAATCAGTATGTTAACCATAACAAACACCACATTGTTGTATCCCGGTAAGTCATCCAGAAGAAAAACTCTCACAATGTTTCTTAAGCTACGTTAATGACCTTAAATATATTATCATAACACTGAACAAGCCTAAAGTTTACAGAAAAATCAATAGCATAATGCACATTACCGGTGTTTCCTCCATTTTTGCAGTTATATGATGCTTCAGTTTATTCCCGCTCACAGCTGCCCGTCGCCTACGCCACGCACTACCTTGTTCGAGTGACTCTCCGAGGGTCGAGACACAGCGCCTCTAGTGTTAGTAATGTACCTCGTCTCTCTTCAGCTCTCTCTATCTCTCTCGCTCTCTAAAATTTGATGAAACCCCAAAAATTATATTTATATCATAGGCTGTTCTTACACAATGATGAATAATTAACTTCAGCATTTAATTCAAGCAGGGATCTTTAACCTTAGATTCTCAGTGCTCCAGATTCATATAAAAGGCTTTGGATGAAAAAGTATATACCTCTATGCTTTAATGAAAGCTTCATAAAATGACTCAAACATCTCAAGAGTTTGTGTGAAAAAAAAGATGGTGTCCGTGCTGCTAAACGTTAAGTTAATATTATTAAATGAATCAGCTATGCAGTTATATTAATTGCATAAGAATTTGTTGGGTAAATGTCTTCTAAATTAATTGACTACAATATTTATCACGTTAAAGATTTCCTACGAACGAAAATTATTTTACTGTTTATAATCCATAAATTTTATAACATCAATTTATTAGCAATTCTGGAGGTTGTTCTGTAGTATTCGGAGAAAATCTGTGATGTTTGGTAAAGTCTGGCACTAGATAACACCCTTCACACGGGCCGGGGTAACCTATAATGACGGGCAGGTTTTAATAATGTAATCCATTTTAAACAATGTTATTTCTTTATACTTCTTCCATCCATTTTTAAATGAGATATATAGCATTTGTGTTATTAATAATAAAAAATACGTTTTTTATTACCATTTTTTCATTTACGGAGCATTTATAAAGATTTAATTTACTTTTACTTTATCCTCTTCACCACTGATCACCCTGATGCTATTATTTTCCGGTTGTCACATTTAGTTTACTGTCCTTACGTCATTACTGCATTTAAGTTGTCACGTGATATTTAATTTATTGTTACCACTTGATCTTCAATTTACTGTTAACGCGTAGCTTATGAGGCGTGGGGGGAGGGTTTGTCTTGGTGGTGTTCGTAGTACTCTTTTAACAATAGACATTCTGTGGTATTCCCATTGCCATTTGCCTAGCTGAGATTATGACACTCTTTAGAATACTTAAATATCTCACATTTGAGTCCATATTTTGAAACAGATTTACTCTGTTATTTGCTAATTTTAATTACAAGAGTGGATACTAATCGGGATTTCTCGGTTATTTTGAATATTATTATATTTGTAGATAAAATATTTGCCGTAATGAATTCCACTTACTTTTTAAATTGAATAATAAATTATTGGATATGATTCATACTAAAAAGTTTATATATATTAATAATATAATAAATAATCACTAAATTTGGTTTAAAAGTTGGTGTTATTTAAAAATGTGTGATTGTTGAATATAACAAGTGAGTGTGGTGAACATGAAGTCTGGCCGCCACCTCCGTGCAGACGCTTCTCAGTTATTGATTCTCAGTCTTACGTTCAGGTAATTTATATCCTCGTGACACTCTTCAGCCTACATTTGCCATCACCGACACAAGTAACGTATATCATGGAATAAATATTAACTATTATTTGAGAGTTAGAAGATATTTTAAGGTGAAAAAAAAAGATGGAGCTATGGTGGAAGTCTTGCCCGTGGTGAGAGGCCGCCAACTACCACTTAGTTGGTCCTCACCACCGCTAATAACCCTCTCACTATATTACTCCACCATAACCACCCAATGTGCTAATTAATAGATTAAACAAAATCCATGTATTACTTAGAGGAAAATTAATTGTAGATTGTAGGTACAGTATGTAGGTGGAGAGTTGATGTTCACACGTCATGCAGTGTTTGGCCTTGATGGTGTATGTTCCTTATTGGTATGTGGTTGATCAATGTTTTACCTTAATTGTAGGTCTTAAGTGAACGGAAGTAAAGTAACAGAAGTTAGTTTGGTAATTTTTCGTTATCCACCCATCACCTTTCACATGAAGTTTTTTTTTTTCGCTAGTTGTGTTGCTGTTTTAGATGATTCTGACATTTATCTTTGGGGCAAATAATTTTTATTTATTTACTTTTATTTTTTAAGCTATTCCCACCCCGTTCCACCCCAACAATGTAGGGGCCACGTTGGGAATGCGGGGTTTAGGGTGGGGGGAGGGAGGGAGGGGGGCTGAAAACAAGTGATCTTCACCAAAAATAAATGTCAGAATCATCTAAAACAGCAAGAAAACTAGCGAAAAAACATTTTTCATGAGAAAAAAGATTAAAACTAAACTAGGTCTACGTACTAACCAACCTTACCTTACCGGTCACATCCTAATCCAGTGTTTCTCAAACTTTTTCACTTTGGCCCCCCTTCAGTTCTCTCCCAAGCCCCTCACAAATAATAATGACAATAGACTGTTTTGGTTCTCTTCCTTTATTTTAATGTTTTCAATCATCAAACAGAATGTATATTTTGTTACAGTTCAATGGGATGGATGACATTGTTTCCTTTCAGTCAGTCGACTGATTCGAGGTTGAGTCACTGATAGAGCACATCTTATGTCTGGGTCCACATGTTACCGGTTTTGGCTTTTATTCTCTATTTGAAGAAGGTGGAGAAACCAGATTCACGTAAATAAGTAGTAGAAAATGGCAAGAGAACTCAAAGTGCGATCTCACTAACTTTTGGATATGACTGATACATTGAGCACTAGAATACAGTCAGATTTTTCTTCATAGATGTCTCTGGCAGCAGAATTGCTCTGAGATCAAGGAATTCGTCTGAACAGGAACTAGAATTGTGCAATCTGAGCGAATCCATTGGAAATGATAAACTAGCTGCTGCACCATACTATGTAAATATTAAAATTGTACCGTATGGGTATTGTTTACACATAATGACAAAAAAAAAGTCTCCCCTAACAAGGGAAAGTAACCAAAAAAAAAGTTGAATCAGACTTTCCATATTTTCTCCAAACATATACGACTTACACTCGCCCGCCGTGGCCCCCCTAAAATCTTGCCGTGACCCTCTTGGTGGCCATGGCCCCCAGTTTAAGAAACACTGTCCTAACCTAACCTGACAGGCCGCGTCCCCAACGACGGCATGTTCCTTAGCCGGGGGGGGATGAAGTCATAACATCAAATTGGGACCTAGAAAAATTTGTGATTATTACAACAAATAAATTGCGAATATCGTGTTTATCTTTGGAATGCCCCTCCCAATTCAAGTATATTCTTTTGTTTCTTGAAGAGATCTATTGAGTGGTAAGAGAAAAAAAATCGTAAAAAGGTGATGGGTGGTTAAAGAAAAATGACCATTAGTTTTTACTGTACTAGGAAAATATTGGTAGTGGATATTTTGCCATGACCGCTAAGTTCCTACTAACTCTATTTTACCGTGAGTGCGCTCTCATTGGCTATTCATCCATTACTGGTGAACAACACAAGAACTACATTTGCCCGTGACTGGTGGCATTTGTCATTATATCGCCGTGAGTTAATCATTGTGTACAGTAGCCATAAACATACCTAACCATATTCCTGTTGTGTATGGAAAATACTAAAAAGATAGAGGTAAAGATTCATCTTCGGTTGAACATGGAATTTCATATTTCTGTTCATATAGGGAGAAAGCAAAAAAAAAACTATTTTATTACGTTTCTGGCGCAAATATTCTATTGGTTGTTCAAAGTGGGCAGTGTAAGGAAAATATGGGGTAAAATGCTAAACGGAACACCAAACAAGCCTTTGAAAACCTTATGGTACCTAACCTTACCTAACTTGTAAAAAGGTAAAAATATGGTAATATCTTGGAACACCATTACCACCGGGAGTAGTTTTTCGATTTTGTTAATTTTTTCCACCAATATTATTATAAAAGAGGTGACATTTACTAGAACCGAATAGAACCTGACCTAACCAACCAAAGGAACCTACCTAACTTCCTAGCTGGGGGGCAGATCCCTGTCATGTTAAACAGAAAGTTCTTAGCCAATCGGAGCGCACTCACGGTGAAATAGCGCTAGTATGAACTTTGTCGGTCACAGCAAAATATCCACTGTGTATTTTATTTCAAAGTTACCGTGGGGGTTGTTACTGCTATGCTACCCATTTAGTTAATCACACTTATTCATTTCTCATTTCTGTAAATTGACTGATTCAGTCAAAGTGTTTCATAGCAGTTGTTAGTCAGTGAATAAGGTTCATGACGATTCCTGTCAAATTAGATTATTCAATTGAGTGGTTTTGAAAGTACAATACTGTATTGAAGAAAATGTGAGGGTTGTTACCATGCAATTACCATTTCCTTTACATGAATTTAACTTATAAAATACATTTCAATATTGAATATCTGAGTGCAGTTTCTTGAAACTAAAGAAGGAACACCTTTGTTGTAAAAGTGCATGACAATGTTCAAGTTTTATGATGAAAACTTATTGCTTTCAAGACATATTGTCATATTTTATCATTACAATATTTTAGTATTGTCACACTTTTGCAGTTTCTAGAAGCTGCACACAGAACATTATATTAATGCAGTGGAAAATTTAGCAATGTGCGTGAGGGTTGATATTACTGCAGTGGTAACGACACCTCATGCTGAACATGTAATGAACCTCACAGGTCTGTGTGGGATATAACAAAGCCCCAGAGAGAACATTCCAGGCTCATGTCAGTATGGTAATAGGATGCTATTTATAATAAAATTAATTGGACTTTTTCCAAAGAATAAGCTTGGTATTGGGAAAAATGAAAACAAATGGTAAATGTCTTATTTTATATGTAGTGTTGTTTCTTCTGTTACATGATGTGACAATTTTTATTATACTATACTGTAGCTGTTTTTGGTGAAGTTACAGATTTAAGCTTTTAAGATTTGTAAAATTCAATGTTTTAGCTTTGAAAACATGTACAGTAACAGATTAGTTTTGGTGACTTTGCAGTTTTGGCTCTCAGGTTGACATTTTCATGGAATGACCCTTTAGCTACTGCATAGCAAATTCACATCTTATTGAATGCCGCAAACAACATAAAGTAAAGAAACAAAGTTTGTCATCATACTGCATGCCCTGACAGCGACCAGTGAATTTTTTATCAAATTTTCACCTCAACTTGGTCGTGTGTGTGGTATTCTTGGTGTACACGAAGTCATTGTAGCTGACTATTGAACCTTGCTTATTATTCTTAATAGTTCCCATGACAGAAGGTGTAATTAATATTTACTGTTATAATCACAATGACCTAACATGAGGTATACATGGTTTCTCTGTGATCACCAACTCATATGATGGTCTCTGCTAGCCTAGCTAGCTGTCAATTGTCATCAGTCACCTTGCCAATGACATCGTAATTCTCACAGGAATTATCAATGGTGCCGGTTTACTGCACTTCAGTGGTGAAGTGAGGGAGGGGGTCCTTAGGTCACTGGGTGACGGTCAAGGCAACCTCAGGTGACTGTCAGGTCAGTAACTGACTGTTGTGGGAATGTTAAGAATCAAAACGTTTTAAAAATACTGTGCTGTATTTTTGTTACTGTTTATGCATCAGACCTGTCTACTTTTTTTAAGATAAGTGTTACTCTAGTACAGTATTGATGCTAATGGAGAGATTAATTAAATGTTATTGGTGTCCCTCAAAAACCTGGCTGGGATGCTATCAATACCTGTACTCTTGTAGGGGTCCAGTATATATAACTCTTTTAGAACAAAGTCCTCTTGTCAGTGCATGGATATCAGTATTATCTGGAATCATAACTTTTTATCACTCCAGTTGTCTGCTTCTTTGGGAATTTACAAGAAACAACCTTTAATGGAATTGTTTTTGTGTTGAAACCTTACCCGTAATGGATGAAAATGCATATATTTTTTATTGCTTATGGTTGGGGCAATTAGCATTGGCTTTGGGTGATAATTATTGTCCAATTTTTGTGCCCGTTGTCATTTTGGAGTTCAGAGTAAAGAATAATCCAAAGGAATTGTGAGAAGAAAATATCGCGTGCTTTAAACGACAAGTGCAAGGTTACTGAGAGAACATAACGATATTCATGCTGAATGATATGAGAAACAATGGGAACAGTATGAAATGTTCAGGCAATATCTAAAGTGATTAATTAGATTTGGCTATTATCACTAGTAATGTATAATATTATAAAAATTAAATTAAGTCTTTGGCATATGCAAGCAAAGTGCGTTTAAGACAGTGATGTACACAGTGAAACATTACAGGATGAAAATATCAAAGGAAATGGTTCAGACAGGCTCTTAAAGAAAACATTGCAACCACCATTTACAGAAGGGCAAACCCAACTCTTAGCTGTGTGGTACTTTTGTGCCAGATATGTATACCATACTGTACTTTTGCTTGTTTTTAATTTTGTTAAGGCACCGTACATGGCTGGGTTTTCCATGGGTGCACACGGCACTAAATAAAGTTACTTGCTTAATATCTTAAGATCCTCACCCATCAGTGCTACAGTCACTTTCAATATGTTCTGGGTGACCAACATTAGGTACTAGCAATGGAATGTCTTGACTTGGTTCTGTGACTTATTTATGGTCTAATTTATTTTCACTGTTTTGAGACGGTATCATCCAATCACTGACAATATTTTGTTTAACAGTCTTTGTAAAATGACAAAGTCCAGTACAGTATTGGAAGCCCTGAGATACCCGTGTCAGCATCTCATCATCTTCCAATGCTAACAAAATATTTTAAGACCCACTTTTGTAGGAACCTTCCTACAGTATTGCATGTTCTATATACTGGACTACAATACAATATACAGTATAATGATGTCCCACAATAAATTATCTTTTTACTAATATATCTTGGTTTTGTTAATCTCATTACTTGAAAAATGTTATTTCATCGAAGTGTTGTTACAGATGATTTTTTTCCTTTTATTTGAATATATTTAATTTAACTAATTGGAAACTTAAAGCACTAGTTAAAGTTGTCTACAGATTGTTTAATGTAAGTATGATTTACTTTACAGAGATGTCATCAGACTCTGAAGAGGAGAATGGTGTAAGGCGTGCAGCGGATGACAGAGATGACAGTGATGGTGGCATGTACGATCGTAGATCGAGATCTAGATCTCGTTCTCGATCAGCTGAGGGGAGTCATCACTCAGATAATAATGGGAACAGCAGGCTTCGTGGTTCAGACGAGGAAAGGTCACCTGACAGGAAGGAAAATGGCTTGAGGGGAGACTCTGACAACGAGAAGAATGACAATCGAAGGCAATATAGCCGATCAAGAACTCCAGAAAACCAAGAAATGGTGGAGTGGGGCAGGGATGCTGATGAAAAGCGCCTCTCACGCAGCCGTAGTAAGAGCAAGCCAAGAGACCAAGACCCAGCCAAGGAACGAAAGTCGAGCTCCTCATCTTCATCAAAGAAGAAATCTCGAGCAAGAAGATCAAGATCTCGCTCCAGAAGTAAGAGGCGCTCTCGCTCACGGACCAGGCGCTCTCGCTCCAGAAGCCGAAAGAGGTCAAGGTCGAGGTCTCGTTCTCGAGGTTCTAGGTAAGTTGACATTTATTGTCTGGTCCAGAGGAGAGATAATTTCAATCTTAGAATTAAAAAAAAATGCTTTGTCATTTATAAATATTTGCACTCGTAATGTGATGAAAATAAATCGGATTCAATGTTTTACTTGGGACAATTTACAGTAGAAATTTTAATGGATAGTGCAGGAGTTTTTAAGTACTGTACCTGTATTATGAAAATAATTAATCTTATTTTAGTGAGTGGTGTTAACCCCATTGATACTTATTTGCCAGGTCTCGAAGGAGGTCAAGATCTCGGTCAAGAAGGCGATCAAGATCGAGGTCAAGGAGTGGAACACCTGTAGATGGAGCTCGTCTCCATGTGGCAGAACTAGGTACAGTAATTTTCTTCTCATTAGTGCCAGGTGTTCCCCACTATAGTGCATGGTTACTAAGGTTGAGAGCAGCACACACTACATTAGTTGTCATTCTTTCGAGCTACCTTACTATACTGGTGTTGGTAATTATGGTTGAGAATGTTAAAGGTTAGGTAAATTGTTAAAATATTGTCGTCCATCATAAATGCCAATATGCATTCTTGAAGAATCACCTCACTATTGAAATCAGCATTTGCAAACTAGTTTCATAGCAAAATAGATGATGCATTCAAATCCCCTCCACCAAACCCCTATTTGTCCACATACTCATATTTACTATACTGTACACAAAAAGTGAGACATTATACTACAGACAAATTTCTGTAAAGTACAGTCAGTAATTGGTTAGCTGCCATAATGTACTACACTGTATTTGGTGGCAAAAGTACAACTTGGATGTCACATGTAGGATGGATAGTCAGGTACTTTATCAACCTGCAGTAAAGTCTTTAAATGCCAAGTAATTTTCTCTGCAGTATTGTTCATTTTCATAGTTAAAGCCTCATGTTGATAACTAGTTTTTTGATAACTAGTGTAATCATAGCAGTCACCCATGCTGTTTTGTCAGGCATGTACAGGGTTGGGGGGTGGGGGGGATTTATGAGTGTGATACAAAAACCAAATACAGGGTGTAATGCGAGAGATATTTCATGTTTATTTCCATCAGCACAGATTTTCCATTTGTTTTCCATTATTCTTAGTAAACTTGTACAGTATATGCACAGCAACACAGTTAGTGACTAGAGCCTGCAGCATCTTGCAGCCATCTGTGCTGCTGCACGTGTTCCTATTAGTACTTAGAATGATTGAAGACTTTTTGGAAATGTTTATTGGGTGAAATAATCTTCAAAGATCTCTCTAGTTTTACTTTGAAATCCTCTCCAATGTTGCCATATACAATAGCATTAAAGTTAAGCTGTTCTTAGTAGCCTTGAAGCCTGGAGACTGCTTCTCATCCATCAAGAAAAATTTATACACTCTGCCTTACAGCAACTTGTCCTCGCTTGTTTACATGCAAGGTCACCCAAAAGTGAGGACAATATTGCTGTTGTAGTGCAAGCATTTGCTAGTCTCCATGAAAGTCTGTAAAGTATTGTGTTTATACATTTATAGGACATCTTGTTAATGTGTTTCATTTTACAGGTATTGTTTTTAGCACAATATTTGATTAAATTCAGCTGTATGTTTAAATTGGCAAAAATAAAATAAAATATATGGATGATATAGTTTATATAAGATTAACATGTTTCTTTAGATGTTGACACTCGTAAACGTGACTTGGAGCGAGTGTTTGAGAAATATGGGCGTCTGAGAGAAATTTGGATGGCACGAAATCCCCCGTGTTTCGCATTTGTTGTCTACGCCCACCAGAAAGATGCTGATCGTGCTCTTAAAGAGACAGATGGCATGTAAGTACTTATTGATAATTTTTATAGTGGCTGTTCAGGTTAATTGTGTAGCACAGTATGTTTAATACAGCCTTCTTTTTTTAATGAATTTGGGAAATTTGAATTTTTTACAAGGGGGATGTACAGTACTGTACTGTAGATCCATAAAGAATATAATCAAGCTGGAACTCTTCAGAAAATTTCCTTAATTTTTTATTTATATAATGGCTGGTGGTTGTACTCTAAGTGTTCAAGTGAACTTGTTAAACTGCACACAGGGGTAAAATATGATTGTGTAGACTTACTGCACATCATGTTCTGATAATTTGGATAATTGTATTTGATTGATGGGTATACTGTATGCATTGAACTCTGCATGCAATAGACCAACTGGCATTAATAATGTAACTGGGGAGTAATTTTGGACTTTGCTAATTGAAAAAAATTTGTATAATTATTGTTAGATATTAAGACAATGTTTTCTTGCAGTATGATTGGTCACTGCCGAATCAAGGTAACTCAAGCAAGACCCCGTGTACGTGGAGGTCGAATGAGGGGAGGCTATGATCCAAACTTGCGCTGCTACCAGTGTGGGGAGTTGGGTCATTTCTCCCGGAATTGTACCGACACAAAGTTTGGCTACAAACGACCCCCAACTCCTCCAGGGTGAGTTAACACTACACTTCATAGATTTGGTCACTGGCCCATCTGTTACATAATTTCAATGGGTAGGTAAAAAAGATTTAATGGTGACCCCTTGATTGCCCTAAGGTTGTTGATTCAGTTTCCATTTATAATAGGAGTTGGCAAGGAACCTTTGAGTAAGAGTGGGTCACTGTTATCTGTCTCACATCCAGGACAACTTTTGTTCTCTCTCACACAGCATCATTAATCATTACGGCTCCATATGGCAGATGCAAAATTGAGATTCATTTAGTATGTCATCTTGCCAAAGTTTACGTGTATTTCTTTTTCTAAATCACATTTTTTAGGGCTTGTTCGTATGGGGCCTTTCTGTCATGTCTCTTACCTGTTTCATAGGTATCTTTGGTCATGAGACTTTATTCTGTTTATTTTTTAGCTATGATATTTAATGAGCACTATTCTTTTACCTGTACCATAGCAATGATATAGAATCCCTTAGTTCTATGACATTACTTCACTCCTGGACAAATTAGCTTTATACAAGTATTTCACACACTTGATGTTAAAGTATTTAATTTATATATGTATATTCATGTGTGTGTCAATTTCATTAAATAAATCTTTCTGATAATTAACTTAAAATTGTCTGTATTTAGATATAATTTTTGTTACATTTTGATCAGAAATTGTCTATAATTCATCCAAGATATTTTTGAACTGAGAAATTCATATTTGTATTAAAAGAATGAAGAAAGTGTACTTTCAGTGATGTCATAGAAAAGTGGGTTTAGAGATAGGGTAAGCGAGTGTGAGCCTGTGGTCTGGGCCGCGCTAGTAAACTGCCCTTGCTCTGCCGTAGGATGTGTTATGGTTTGGTATTGTGGTCATGTGGTTGGGTTATTGGTGCGGTGGGGAGAGGCGCCTCCAGAGTGCCTTGAGAAGCGTGATGATGGCACAACTGCGGTGGCACAGCCGCGCTAACTCCACACGTAAGTCTACCACGCCATCTCCTAGGTGAGAACCTCAGCCTGGCCTATCCCAGCCTAGAATAGGCTATCTATGCTCAACACAGAGGTCCTTGAGAACTATACAGTACATACGCCCACACATTCCTTCACTGGTCATCACCCACTGCACAACTGTCACACAGACATTCTGTACCACCGTACCCAATAATTTATTATATATATTTTATTATGTACCATTTTGTAGGAATGGTAAAACTCTGGTAATACTCGTACAGTATATGCTGTGGAAACACAATACTGTACAGTAGTACATTTTCCTACATAAGTTCAAATAACATTTCCAAAAACTATTGACAACCAAATGTTAAAAAAGGAGGACATTTTGGTGTTTGGGAGATTCAAAGGGTAGTGAGGAAACTTAATTAATTGTTAGGTTTAATCACAAGTGATGATTTAGTCAGGGGGTAGTGGTAAAATTTGTAAGAGTCCTTGAAAGAAATTTCCCAGTCTTAGGTTAAGTGAGGTGAATAGTGAGGAAGTACACAAGTACAGTGAGTTCTGCTATAACGCGTGTTTTGATAACGCGAATTTGCTCTAACGCGATTTATGAATTCGGAACAATATTTGTATAACGCGATCGCTTGTTTGCTATAACGCGATTTTTGCTTACTATTTCTCCAATTTTGTGGTATTAACTGTGAATATGGTAAAGAAGAATATCTCCAAAAAGCATTCTGATGATAGAATTCCCGGTGATTATCGTAAAAGAAAGGATATAACACTTGAAGAGAAGCTTGATGTTATCAACCTCAAAATCACCCTTCTCCCCCATCAAGTTACATTCATATTTTTTCAAGGTAAAGTGTTAAATTTACTGTATGATTTCATTATTAGATATGAATGTAACATTTATTTAGACTGTGCTATCCTTTGTGTTAGGCTAACTACTAAATTTTTTCGATTTCGAGTAATCTGCACCTAACCCTATTTTCTCCATAAGCCCTGTTATTTCTATTACGCGATTTTCTATAACACGATATTTTACAAGAACACAATTATCGCGTTATAGCAGAACTACCTGTACAGGGGAAGGCCATATATTACTGTTACCCCGTAAATTACATCAGTGTTAGCTGTAGGGATGGTGGCCAACATTAATGGATATTTCATATTCCTTGTGTTTCATTTTTGGCACACATGGAGGTTTATCAGGGAATCCCTAGCTACCATTTAAGGGTTAAAGGAGAAAATGTTCACAAATCTTTTTAACATAAAGAAAAGTTATTGGTAATGAAATTCCATCATGGTGAGAGGGAGTGTATATACTGTATTGTAATGATCTTGTCAGTATATGACAAAAAAAACTTAGTCACACTTCTAACATGGGTTATTGTAAGTACTTTACACGAGGATAATATTTAGAAAGTGAACTTTTAATGACATATTTGTGTACAGTAGCTGCAGTATATCACTCAATAGGTGACGGAGTTGGGTAGACAACTATAACTTTAATGTACTGTATATGTTATGCTTATGAAAGTAGAAGAGCCCTGCAGCTGTAAAAGTTTTCAGTATACTACAGTACAATGAATGTAAATGATAAGTAGATAGATTACTTTAAGTTTCCAGTAGTAAATTACACTAAATTACACTCAACATGATCTGAGTGCAGTAGACCCACATCCCACCAGGATTGTATCTCATTGCTGATTGACTTTTTGTGCTCTCTGTAGTACATAGGGTATAGAATATCTCACTGGAATGTTCGATATTACGTATATACCATTCTGCTACAAAAATTCACAGATGGCCGATTCCATGCTGGACAATTTACATATTGGTGGCCACTGGTTTCATATTTAGTATGTACAGTACTTGCCAGTTGTAGATAATTGGGTGGTGGTGAAGCATTTTGTGACATTGACTGAGGAGGTAAAATCTTGTGGATAACAGAAACAAGTTAGTGAGACGCTAAAGAGAGATACAAAAGAGGGGAAATTTTTTGCTGGAGAGCCAATGAAACCCAGTTGTAATAGTTCTCACCTTAACCTAACCATTAGGATAGGGCCCAATTGACCAGCCATCACCAGTGGAGGTTAGCTGTAGAGAATGGTAGCCATCATCTAGGGCTGTTAGCCATAGGGACGGTAACCTTCGTCAGGGCAGGTTAGCTGTAGGGACAGCAGCCATCATTAGGGGAAGTTAGCTGTAGGGACGTTGGTCATCATCTGCGGAAGTTTCATGTTTACCGATGTTCTCCAAAAGTAAATCTATTCTTGCATTCACAATGCAGATCCAAGTTTCAATGATTTTTATTTTTAGAATAAAGTTCTTCCGTACTTATGTACTGTATGCAAATTCGATGAAAATACTAATACTAATTCCTAATGTTCATACAAATTATTGTGGACTTAAATTATGATCTGCACTTGTTTGGTCTCCACTAGAAACAGTGGTAGAGCAGAAAACCACATGAAAATTTAAGCATTAGATATTCAGTGAACCCTCGAAGATCCAGACTAAAAGGGGGGACCACCTGTCCGGAAAAGCCGATTGTCCGAATTTTCCGGCAAATAATAAATGATAAAAGAAACGCCAAAAATACAGTACTAATGTAGTGATAAACAAATTACCGTATATAAACCAAGCATTTACCTATGATAACATAATAAGAAACATTGTATCATTACTAGGGTGAATGAAATAATATTCCCACAAACAACAATTGTCAACTCTGTTTATGTTTCCCACCTCCTTGGGCACCTGTGTCCAAGCAACTGATGGGTCAAGCAGTGCCCACGGGCCTAAAATGTTCTTTGCTCTGGTTGGAGAATGTTTCTAAGGAAAACTTCTAGGAGGCTTCTTAGCCCAGAACCCCTAAAATTTTTGTCCGGATCTTCCGAAATCCGGATTTCCTGGGTCCGGATCTTTGAGGGTTTACTGTACAGTATATAGATTGATTGATATTGATTCAGTAAAATGATCACACCAGTTTACATTTGATTCAGCATGCATATTGACAATGAAGGTATACAGTGTACATAGACTGCAATTATTAAAGGGTTTAGTTTTGATGAAAGAAGAATAACGTGTAAAGTGCTCACAACTATAATACTATTATTGTTCATAATAATTAGCTTTGAAAATAAGAGAAAAATAATGTACAGTAGTAGTATTGGCATATTAGCCAAAACTAAATTTGCAATATGCAGAATTGAATTTAGCTTAAGACTAGCCCCCAAAAAGTCTTGGCTAAATTTAAAGCTGGATTGATTGTATGATGTGCAGCACTATGTATGGGAAGGCCAGGGAAATGGAAGAAAAAACTCAATTGGGTTAGTTGGTCAGTCAGTCACTTGCTAGGAAAGACATTCAGGGAGCTGCATTATGATGAATCAAATGTCTGCGATGCTGTCCTTAAAGTTTAGTGTTGGCAGTTTAACACTACTTATAATGGATTTTAGGCTTTCTAAATAAGTGTTATTAAATTTTGTATTTCTTCAGGGACATCCCAACTCAAAAAATAACTAGCAACTGAGTAAAAGATAACTAGGAAGCTTCAAGTACTGTACTACTTGGCTAGAGAGCCTTATACAAGATTAAGATATAGCACCAGAGTTTTACTCCTTTCCCACAAATGTGAAAAGTTAACACACACACACATACACAATCAAGCAATCAAAATGATACTGTACTTAATACAAACATGCTCATTCTTGTAAAGAACATGTACATAGACTCTCAAGTATGCAGATGAACACAAAAATACATCTACACACGCATATTTATACTGACACCTGTACAGTACATACATACGTGCACTCGATACTAGCACCATTACACACATGTGTACCTGTGTGTATACACAGGCATATGCACAAACATGCACATATAAATATACACATGCACTCAAATATACATAGACCTACACAAACATGCACATTTTTATGAACATTTATACAAACATACATCTGCAAAAAAAATGTACAGTAGCACAAACATACACTTGCACACACACATAAAATTATGCATCCAGACATGCACATACACAAACATTTATACAAACAAAAACAGGCCTGCACACAAAAGTACACACATTACATGCACACTAATATGAAGCCTATACACCCGAACATAACTTACATAGGAAACAGTACGTGCATGTGTTACAGGATTGTGTAATTAGGCATTTCACATATTCCCTGAAATGTGTAACTAGGGATTTCATGCACTGTACTGTAATCCTTAAAATGTTCAGGAATTTCATGTTATTGCTGTTACTGTCAGTTAGTTTAACCAAACTATTAACCATGTTAGGTTAGCTGATGGTCATACCTATAACAAGAAATTCCTGAACATTTTAGGGATTACAAGAAATTCACTAATTTCACAGATTCCCCTGCAACACATACAAACTCATCCTTGTTGTATATGAATCTACACATAAACAAACAAATAAATAGTTGGACAAATGCCTTCACGCTGACAGAGAAAACTTACACCTATGCCTATATATATGTATATGTATATATATATATATATATATATATATATATATATATATATATATATATATATATATATATATATATATATATATATATATATATATATATATATATATATATATATATACAGTATATATATATTGTCCGACAGTACCATGTACACACTATACCTCATGCACACATGCTAGTACACACCATACCTTGTATTGAAACTTCAGTGCCCACCAAACCTCATACACAACCAGCATAACCCACTGTGAATGCACTCGTACTATCCATGTGCATACATCATCACTTAATCCCATTCATGTACACATCTATATACACACAAAAACACACACACAGGTATAAAATGTAAAGGTAGAGCATTTAGACCTGATAACTGCATTTCCAGAACCTTGATTGATATATCTTTAGTTATTCCAATCTTGTGTTTGTGAGGTTCAGAATTTCAAATGCTATTTATATTGACCTACTGGTTTGCTAGGAGTATAATGAGTATGTTTTACCCATTTTCCAGTGTTAGTTCAGGTAAGGCTTTAGAATGCCTGTATGGCTATAGAATTTTTCACTTAATTTGGTAGATGATGAACATGTGTATAGGACCCAGTGAATGATTATGTCCAAGGGGATATTTATGTGTTGTATTGCTGGTGACTGAGAGGAAAGTATTATTGGAGTTGTATTTAGCGCTTGTAAGAATGATAACAGATGTTTTATGATAATTGGATTATTGATTTAGTATTTGCATTTTAGAAGATAAAGGTGATGATGCACATGACAGCAACCGTACACAGTGATGCTGCTCACTGTGTATGAGGCAGCATGATTCAACACCACATCAATGATAGGCTTATTAATTTTTTAATGTTAGGGTTTTTTTTCTGTATGTCTGACGCTTGAAAAAGCTGTATATTAATGTTGGGAAGATTTTTGTCTGTTTTGTGAGGGAGGGGAGTGGAGATACCAGCTGCTTGATGTGCCAGGAGTAAGATCTATGTAGGTGTTCTGTTGATAAGTGCTGGAGTAGGTTATCTATTAGTAAAGTGGTAGCATAAGATTGTTTTGAATGTCATCATATGATTAGAAGTGATTAGAGTATGGAAAAAAGGGGGATTGCTTAGTACACAGTGAAAGGAGACTGGAAGGGATAGGCTAAACATTGATAATGCTTTTTGCTTTAGAGTTGATTGTGTCTGGAAGACTTAGGAGTATTGAGATGAACCTCCTGAATGTGAGAACAGTATTCCAAGTGAGGGCGGACAAGGCTTTTGTGAAGGGTGAGTAGTTAAGACTGAGCATATAGTAGACTGGTTGGCCTCCGTCACAGCCTGTGGGGGTCACCACCGAAGGAGAAGTAAAGGGATGCCTTTTCTCCTGATGCTGCTTTTATTTATTTTTTTCCCGGTCACACTCACACAGCAGCACCACTCCATGAATTGCAACAATTTTATGTGACACATCGTTCCTGCTGGTAAATTGTGTTGATGGGTAGCCAGGAAAGGAGAGCTTTTGGGGCAAATATTTCAACTTGCTCCATTCCTCCATGATATCTTTCTTTTATGAACTCTATCACTCTCCTCCTTCAGGATGCTGGATGTTATCACCCCATACCTCACACATCGACTTTTTCAGCAACCATGTTATTGCTGCTTTGCTCTTCCCCTTTGCTAAAACTTCACAGTCACTTCGACAGCATGAGTTTAGTCCTCTCTTCCAACTCATGGCCTTGTTTCATTTTTGTGGATCATTATCAGTTGGCCAATACATGGGAATAATTTTCCTTCACATTATCCTTATCTTTTCTCTCATTTCTCCATCCATAGAACTCTGTATTTACACAATATTGACCCAACACACTACAGTGCTTCACTCCATCATAATGTTATAGCTCATCAAACTTCATTTATTTGTTCTGCCACTTTAATCTCTTGACTCCCTCTAGCTTTTGCCTTTCACTTCCCTATGTTAAACACTATTTATGACATGTGAACATAACCTAGGACTTTCTTCTTTGTGACCAAAGGACCAGTATGGGGGAGTTTGTTGTTATTCACCAACCATGTCTACAGGGAAACAACCTCGAATATCCCTGCCGGTATTAGCCTGGGACTAATCAAAATGATTAGTTATGCCTTTACCCAATAATCACAGCTCTGAAGAAGGGGTCTTAGATATGGGAGTTGTCACCCAAAGCAGGCTAGTAGGTCTGTATGTGTAAATGGTAAAACAGTATGCATCTAATCTAATCAGTCGCCAAATTTTAGATCCAACACCAACTCTTGCTTCGGTCCCGGCATCACTTGCTTCAGTTTTGGATGCCTTTGTCCTTATGTCATTTACTTCAACCCAGAAACAGAAAATTTTACTTGCCAAGTTTATTTATGAAGGTGGGTTTGCCTTCTTGGTTGGCATATTACCATCTGATAATTTACCTTCTGCATTATGCAGATGAGGAACATTTGTACTGAGAAAGGTAAGTGGCACAGTGTGTGGTTCAGCCACGTAAGACTAGGGTCCTCATAGATGTCCAAATTTACATAAACAAGGACCCTCTAGTAGTTGGTGGCTGTAGATATCAAAACTACACTACAATACCGTATAGCAGAACTTGCATGATTAATGCATCATAAAGAGAACCATTTATACTATTAGATTAGTGATGTAATGATGAAATAATGTTTGGATTTACCATATGTTAAATGGGGACTTTTAAGTATGTGTGTGTGCATACACTGAGCTTATGTAATGTTTGCCTCTTGCTGTTATCCCCTCTGACATAATTATATTACCTGATTTTTGCACAATGCAAACCTGTCAGTGTTGAGACATTCAGTCAAATATAAATCTTTAAGTTGTAAGATAACTTGCATGTTTTGTTCATTTAAGATAGTGTTCAGCCAATTTGAAACCTGCTACTGCTTTAAAAAGAGGGAGTGTCTAAAATAAGTCATTTTGAAACAAGAATGTGGTATACTTGAAAGCACTACATGCAAGTTACCTGTATTGACTGGCACTGTAGCATGGGTCTCATTTGGTAATTAAAAAAGTGCTTAATGGCAATTCCCTCCTCTTAATACCTCTGTTCAGGGTTCTGATTGTAGTGGAAAGGCAAAGTTAATTCTTTTGTTTGGTTCCTAGTAGCTATTTCTGGGTTTATACTTAGTTAGCAGAATAATTATATGGGCTCCCAAGTCTGATCTCAGTCAAAAAGTGGGATTTCAGGATCAGTCCATCATTATGCTGCATATATCTCAGTAATCATTATCACAAGCTTTTGCTGAAAGTTCTGTCTGATAGCTTCCTTCTCAATTAAATTCTTTTTATCAGTTATGGCTCATGTATGCATTCCTTAATGTCCTGCTAGGGACTATTTATTTATGTTTCTACACTGAAGATTGTGTGAAGTAATAATATTGTACCTCTGAGGTTATAGCATGTAATCTTGTCCAGTCATCTGGCACTTGCCTACTTTCCACAGGAATACACACATTTAGTGCATTGAAGTTGTCTGTCAACACTGTTTATTAGCAGCTTCCATTTTTCCAAGAGCCTTTCCTTTTTTATACATCAGCAGTGCAGAGATTGTAGCAGTATGGTGCTGACTGTCACCCTTTTGGTTTGTCTGTTAATACTTCAGTGTTTTCACCTGACTTAAGAGTACCATGAACAGATGGCTTACCCTGGTTTAAGGGGAGGAACTTCACTGTTGATTTTGGGGTCAGTTCATGATCGATGTTACTAAAAATGAAATTGGGTCTCTGAAGTATAATGTGAGTTTCCATGCACAGACCATCTTTAACATTGCATAGTGACCTTGGCAGGAGAGAGAGGAAGTTCCTTATTGGTTTTGAGGTGTGGTGCCCCCCTCCTTCCTGTGGTCTCCAATGCTGGCAGGCTGAAGAACTGGTGGTTGTATGTGCTGGAAAGAATATTTTCCCACCTGTTTGAGTGAATACCGTATATCCATTTCACTATGTACTGTATGTATCAGATAAATTTAAGCTCAATATTTGAAGAGCCTTCCCATTGATCTTCAGACTAGTGTTGTTATGACAGTTTTGACATATCATTCTCTTGACATTTGCCACTAATTTTTTTTTATTTCGATCATTTTCCTCAAAACTTTTACTCTACAATAATTTTTTATTATTTAATCTTTAGTTTGTGTACTTGTTATATTCATAGGTGCAGAAGCACACATCTGGGTACAGTTATCATTCATTTGCATATTCATGTTACTGTTGTAGAATTTACCCACTCTTGGTCTTAAACCCTGGGTGAAAAAAGAACTAACCCCGACTTTTATCTTTCATTAACTGAGCATATGATTCCTCCTCTTTAGTCCCATCAAGATTACTTATGCTTATATCTATTCACATACCTCCTGTAGGCTGTCTAAAGTATTTTAGGGTAGTTTTAAAACATCCAGCAATTCTGTTTAAAACCTTTATCAGTTTGTCTTTCTCACATGTTGGTCATGTACTGTAGAGAGACTCCTTCACCTCATCTCATCCTACCTGAGAGACTCTTGTATTAGTCTTGTCGAGAGACTCATTCACCCTCATCTCATCCTACCTGAGAGACTCTTGTACTGGTCATGTAGAGAGAGACTCCTCCCCGATCTCACCTTACCTTATGACTCGTGTACTGGTCATGTGGAGAGTTTCGCCCTTTCCCTTATCTCACCCTACCTGAGAAACTCTTGTACTGGTTATGTAGAGAAAGTCTCTCCCTCAGCTTATCTTACCTGAGAGACTCGAGTACTGGTTACCACACTGGTAGGGGCATAATCCAGTGTAGTGTATCTGAGGAGGCACAAGGATTAACATTTGCTGTCCAGTGTTTTTTCTACATACATTATAAATAAAATAGTGAGCACATCTAATACATTTAAAGATTGAAAGATAATTTGCATACAGTAAAAAAAGTTTGAAAAGAAAGTCACAAAAGTAAGGTACAATGAAAGTAAATTAGAAAATGCTGAAAAATTCATATAGCCATAGAAGATAAAACTGACTGGGAACCCCTGGTAACACTTGACAGCTTTCCATTTTTTCTGTTGTTAGACAAGCCTTCTGTCATATAAATGAGAGGCCCCAGTCTCTTACAAGCCATGTCCCCTGTTTTATACCAGAGGCCCTTAGTCTTTATTTTAGGTTATCCATCTTGCTCAAGCCTCCATCTCTTAAATACACATGACCTCAGCCTATACTAGACAGACCTCAAGTCCCTGGTGGATAAATCCTATACTATTGACATAAGGCCATGGCTAAAGTGGCTTATTGGCCTGGTGCATGTTAACTGTTGTCTGTATTAAATATTTTCTTATTTTGTCTGGTGGCCTTGTGTTTGCCACTGTTAGTGGTAGGCAGTCATAATAAGGTATATAGTGGAAGGTCACATACCATTTTAAGAAAATTTCGAAGTTCTAGGATGACCTTCAGGCCAGAAGATAGCAGGAGGAAGAATGCTTATCTGGAGTAGCAGCCTAGACAAGATTACTCCAGGTTAGTTCTCGACTACTACTGAGGAGCTGGGTGTTGAGTTTGTGGATGACTGGTTGAGAATCTGGGGTGAATGTGGTCATAGTGAGGGGTGGATGAATTGAATGTGGTTCAAGAAATTCTTAACTTGTTTTTGGGATTGAAAAATGTTATTTTGATGTAGATGGGCTGATGATTGTACAGTAGGTACTGTATAAGATCTTTGTCTCGTTTAGAGAACTTCATTGTTTTGTGTAGAGTAAATTTAATATATACTGTAATTGGTTTCAAAAGGATGTCCTGTAAAACCTAAGGCTCACATACCTAACATGTCAGATTTGTTTTATCACTTGCCAAATATATTTAATGTGTTTACTTGATACCTGTACCTGTGTTGCTTAAAGCCTGAAGGGTGTAATTGCTGTAACACCTTGTCATATTCAGTAGTTTGTTTTGATTTAGAAGGAAGACAGCTTTTGTAGTATAATATAAATGCATGATAATTTAGCATAAATATATATCAACAACTGGTAAGTAAGTGATGTAATATTGTAGTATACCTGTATAAGTTTTTGAAATTTTGGAAAACCTCAGTAAGAGTAATGCCTTGGAAAATTTAATCTGAACTATTGTAATATAGATATAGGGTCTTAAATGCTTTACCTTTTATGGAAGTGCAAAATAATGAGTTATAATTTAGATGTTATATTTGTGGCAGACTTGTACTGTATATGTGATAAATTACTCAATGTATTTAGGTACATAGTAACACACTACAGTACACCTCGGCAGTACACTTGCAGTGCAATACTATGACTGATGGTTTAAATATGAACATAAGGATTCCTTTTTGGCTGATTGCTAACACTTTTACCTGTACTGAATATAACTGACAATGTATGCTGCAAGGAATATATTAAATGTTTACTATGATAAAACCGCAAGTTCACTCATGTTACTGGTAGTGAATTGTGGATCTCTAGGATAGTTGACATTTTGGAACAACTACTGTATTGGTAGTCCTCTGTCTTGGTCTCATTGGCAGTAACCATCTTATGTGAGGGGGAACTGGAACACCTTTCATGGGTATAGTATAAACACAAAGTTTGTAATAGAGTATTGTGAAGCAAGTGTTACTGAAGATATGAGAGAATAACAACAGAGTGTCATGTAGGTCAACACCCATCAATTGATCTACTATAGTCATCATCAGGAAACATGTAGTGGTGTAGGTCTCTAGACAACCCTGACTGTACTTCACTGGGGGAGGAGGAGGGGGGACGTCTGCTAAATCATGCATCTATATTATGACCAACAATTTATCATACATGAGCATTGGAAATCCCACAAAAAACATACCACATAAACCTTTTTTTTTAGTTAGGATTGTATTTGATATTTTTATTTTCTTGTCATTTATTATATAATGCTTGAGATCCTATAATTTGAGGAGGATATTTCTTTAATTTTCGATGGTTAATGGAAATGTTTTCATGAAATTCAGTTTCAGAGATTTAGCAACATACTGTAGGTTCAATTGTGTAATTGGAAACTGTATAAATCTAACCCAAAATTGGATTATATATGTATACTGTATGGACATTTCTTATCATTAACTTTTAAGATTAGAAGATATTAATAACCAATCATATTAAGGCTTATTTTTATTTTTTTCTATACTTCTGGTATAATGATATTGACAAGTAGGAGATTCATTCATCTGTGGAAATATGTAGTCACAGTATTTTATGTAGCACCATCCATACTGAAGTTGACCTGCCCCACACACACACACACCTTCAACCTTTTTTTTTTTTTTCTTTTTTTGTGCTTCTGGGCTTTTTCTGTGTTGCTTTGTGTACATTTGTTGAGGTATTCCTCTTATTGTTCACACATTTTTATATCCGAGTGCTTGGCAATTGCTTCGTCCGTGTGATAGCCAAATCAACATCCAGAATGGGTCAGACTTCTGAAGTTTGGTGATACTGTACTAGGTAACACTAGTGTAGGAAAGGTTGTGTGTACTGTAAACGTCACTTGTCGTGGTGCCAGAGTGCGGCTTGCGAATTTTCAGAAACGATAAAAGCTTATACTGTATCCTAGATAGGAACTGCAAAGCTGACATTAAAAGGAGTTGCAAATTTTTAATAACTTTATTGCTACTAAAGTCAATTACCAGACCCTGATGAGAACAGTAAAAGATGAAAATATGGTGTGACGAGATTTCTACTAGAAAAAATTTCTTTCCATTATCATGTAAGATAATATTACAGTACTTAAAGTGTACATTGTCTCATTGTACTGTATTGAATTTAGTTTAGTAAATATTCACTTTGACTCGGTAATATTTTACATAATTTTCATCCACTCAGGAAGTAAAAATGTAGCTTTTAACATATTAATATGCCATTAATTTTTTCTTCTTCTTTAGAGGCATCTTGATCATATAGCTCTAGATTATGGCGGGAAAACTTTGACATTTGCTGTAAAAATATCTATTTACATAACCTTTGTATCTCACCTCCTCAGCCCACATATTTACTCTTAACGTAGGTGTTTGTAACAAAGTTGCTTATTGTGGATGTATTGTGCTCTCTAAGATAATCATATTCATTCATCAATTAATTTCAGACATGTGGTATGGCGGGTTCCACAGCTTAGGGGTTAATTTTGAGTCGTGTGTTAATGTGTTACTGTTGACAACGTATGAGTTGAAAGACGGTGAAGAAGTCAGCAGAGTGAGGCATGGTAAAGGACAACATTCGGCATGGGAGATGGCTAAGAAGTCCACTTTCAGTGTGTGAGATGGTAACGAACTTCATGTTGGGAGATGGTAACGGACTACGTGTTGTGAGATGGTACCGACGTGTTGGGAGATGGTAACGGACTACGTATTGGGAGATGGTAATGGACTACATGTTAGGAGATGGTAAAAAAAATCTGTTTCTAAAGTGATCTGGTTAAGCATTCTTCATGCTTTGTCAAGGATAGCAAGTGACTTCCTTTTACAGTGTGACCACAGAGAATTACCTAATAGCTTCACACACAGTGGGAAATGGTGCCATATTTCTCCTCTTTTTTCCAAATAGATATGTTTACTCATATAATTTATGCCTTCTTTAAATTAGACCACTAAATTTCATCATTTTGAATTAGGGAATAGGTAGTAGCATAGTGAAGATGGCATACCAACAATGTTCTTTGTTCAACTGAAGGAAAATCTTGGGTATAGGAAGATTCAAGATATGTGTGTGGTGTTGATGACACACTTAAACCAGATAGGGAAACCACTCATAGACAAAGTATTGACATATCTTAATGTTATGAGTAAGTATGTGTGTGCATTTCTAATGTAAAGTCTTAGCCCTTTCCTTTTGTTTTTTTTACACAACTCTTCCCTATCATTTCTCCATCTCTGTGATCCACCCAACACAAATGTAGGAAGATAACAGATAGATACATTTCATGTTCAAAGGAAGAATTATACTTTACTTTGTTTTAGTTAAATAAGTTTAGATAGATTTATGAATGGTAATTACCAAAGGCCAGTACTGTACTATGCAAATTTGTCATAAGCATGATTGAAGTTATGAATTTTGTCCAAGTTTCAAGGTATTGGAAATCTCATGTTAATACTGTACTGTACTGTACTGTCAGCAGAGGCTGTGAGGTAAAACCTTACTGTAGATCCCTCCTAGACCATGGAACTATGTTCCTTCAGACGGAAAAAAATATTGTGGATTGTAAATCCATTGCGTCCACGTTGAAAGTGGAGTTGGATTGGTATCTCAAGAATATTGCCTTACAATTTCCCTTAACCCACAAAATTTAATTTATAGCATAAGAATATGATATACTTACTGTACAGTAAAGTATCTGTCAACTGAAAATTATGGGACCAAGAAACTTGTGTAAAATGGATAATTATGTAAAGTGGGTACTCTCATCATAACTTGTGTGAGGCAAGCATGTAATAAACCTTGGTACTTGTGAGCTTGTTTATTAGTTTCTGCAAATACCTGTACCCTGTAGACCAACTTATTCAGTATTCGCTAGGTCTACAAATAAGCTTTCTATGTTTCATCTGAAACTCGCATAAAGACAAGTAGACATGTCAATCACACCACCGTGCACAGTCACTGAGCCAGTTGCATGATTGTTAAATTTTTCCTAAGTTACTCTCCTGTAATTTGTGGAAGATTACTCTATATTCTTAAATTTCACATTTCTAATGTAAATTTTTTTTAATAGATTATTTCATAAAAGTAGATTTTTGGTTGACAGATACTTTGCTGCACAACAAACAATATACATAGTGTAGTGTACTCACCTGAAGGAGGAACATAGGACACACCAAGAACAAATGAACTTGAGGGAGGGTAGAGAGCCAGGTTAAGAAGATGAGAGGGGATGACTGAGCATCAATTGCCTGTATTCCAATAATAATCCTTCATGATGCTTTATTAGGACTATTTAGTTTGAATTATTTGTACTGTACAGTCCACACTTGCAACCTAGTATATACACTCAAGATGGTTGGGAATTGTAGAGGTTTTGGTGTGGTAAGAGTATCTGGGTACGCCAAAAACACAGCCAGTATCGGTCTCTGAAAATTTGTTGAACAAAGTTAAATT